ATTCTTTTTGTAGATTGACAGTACTCCCTAACATCATCTTTGACCACTGATCAATAGTATTTGTCGTCTGTTGAACCATGATCGAAGTCATTGATTGTAAGTTGACAAAATGAAATGCTGGGTTTAAGGGAGTCTTCCTCAATGACATCATCATAGTCTATCTTATGAATAATTTAGAAAACGCTATTTATTCTTCGTTTTGATTTTTTCTGTCAAGAGTTCGTATTTTGCGCAGAAATAGTATAGCGCAGTAGTTTAAATTTAGGAATACAAGATGCAAAGTTGAGCCCTCTAAAAGATATAGGACAGAGTTGAAAATATCTAGGAATCATAGCCTAGGGGAACCAAGGACGGTTGTTTTAATCTTTTCCGTATACGGCGTACCTGATCTGTCCTTTTGACAAGAAAAAACCAGCGTCACTGAAAACGTGACTAACGTATCATTACCCTCAGGTTTTGGCGCTGATTACGAATCAGAGAACGAAATGGGTCGGGTGGGGTTCGAGTTGAGGTAAAAAATATTGATTCGGGTCGGGTCAAAGGAAAAGAATTTTCGGATTTAATCGGGTTTTGCCACTTGAAAATAAATCAGGAAATTTTTGTTTGGTTACGGTTCACTCATCTATTTTTCAACATGTACCTTTTCTATCGGAAAAAGAAGTACAGTGTTTTTTCCTTCTTGCTTTACGCTGTGTAATGTACACTGTACATTGCACAGTATCGCACTGTTGAAGCAAAGAAAGAAAAGAAAAACGGAAACATAAGTAAATCCAGAAAAACAAACGCCTTAAATATGCGTTGCATTATGATGATTAAACTTCATGACAATATACGATGGAGAAAGATTTCCTGTTTCGGGTTATCACAATTCGAATGAACTACCACTTGGACAAAAAATCAGAGAAACGTTCTAGGCTATTACAAAAGCTATAGGCTTCTGCTCGTTTCCAGAAAAATTTATTAGGTCACCTAAGAAAATTTTCGGGTCATTCGGGCCAAGTTTCGAAAATTTCGTACGATTTCCGGTCGGATAGGGTAAAAAGGCCCCCGGGTCGGGTGGGGTTCAGTCTCACATAGAAAATATTAATTCGGGCCGGATCTGGTTCGGGTCATCCACCTAAGACCCAATTCGGTCCCTGTTACGAATATCACCGTTATTTTGCTTCAAAAACGATTCTTGATGGTATAAACTTGACTTTATTTCCAAATTATGCTGACGTTTAATAATGCTGAACTTATTTTCAATATTTCACCATAATTCTAAACTTTTAACTCAATTATGGATACATATTCTTGTAAACCAATGAATTTGTGAAACAGAACTAGAAATTGAAACTAGAAATTTGACTAGAATACTGCAGAAAAAAGAAAATACTGTGTTAGATAGGGCTAAAAATCTAGGTGTATAGTAGTTTTTCGATACAAAATAACAATGCTTTTTATTTTCAAGGCTCCGCACAATCTGCGTCGAAAGCTGCACAGAAACAAAATTGCATACAGTGAGACATAAACTTGCCCTTTTTGCCGTAGATGCGTATCCGAGGATACCTGACACATTAACTAGTCGGATTATAGAATCTGAATCGCGCAAGGCTTCTCAGAACCAGAATATCTATAGTTTCATTGAACTGATTTCTACGCATGCTGCAAAACATAATAAAGTTATCATGCCGAGGTCTGTCATACAGTTCTTCGAATATCAATGAATCGTGCCAATAAGAAAATAAAATTTAGTTACAAGTCAGGTAGATGATGTCGACGTCAGAGAAAAAGTCAGAATGAATTAAAAGAAATCCGCTGTCGGATTGAGCGAGAAAGTTTTGCATCGGGCACCTAATCTTTATCTAATTTGGTGCAGTATGAAGGGAACAGCTCATTTTCTAATATTTAAAGATTCACGTACTATCCAACAGCCATTGACTAGTTTTTTTTTTCAAAAAACAAGTACGAAAAGCTGCTATCTTTATAATAAATGTTGTATAGGAACAGAAGCTAACTGAAGTAAAATCGACTCATGCGAAGGACACCAATTTGGCATCAAATGACTTACCTCATAACCATGAAAAAGGTCATTACTAATGATGTCTTACAAAAAGAGAAAATTCTAGAAAAGAAAGAAAAAAAGCTGTGGCTATAATGGTGTAACAAGTTCTCATGGGTGAGTAAAACTAAAATCTAACTCTATAGACAGAAGAAGCGCGCAGACGATCGTGAGTCAGACGTCTGTTTGCTTTCAAGAAGGATAACGAAAATAACGATAGTTGCGACCATGTTACAGTAGTTCAGATGGATGAACAAGTGCGTTCAAAGACGAATGTTGTTGTGCAGCTCAAAAGTGGAACTTTCTAGATCTAACTTTGCTGAGTAATGAAAATTAATATATTGCCATCGGAGGGATTTTGTCAAAACATGGCGTTGTCATATTCAAACGGTACCTAACGCTTTCCGCGATCGATCGTGCACATCACCTTCGCTGACGAGCAAATTATGTTCTCCCATTAGCGCACTGAAGACTGTACGAAATAACTTTGATTTAATATAATATTTTGAATACTTCTTCAAAGCATCGCTAATGAATGAAGCGTCTCTGATGAGAAGGCAGACGCTTGGGCCTTGCATAATGATACAAATATCACCATGTTTCACGTTCAAATCAAACTCGTATTCATTTCGGCCTTTATGAACTTTGGCATAGGCACGAATATCAGGTACTTGACCAACAATGGGTACAAATGGTTCACCTGGTATATTCTGAGCACGAAATATTTTGTAAATAAGATACTGTTTGTGAATCAAATGATAATAGATCTCGAACATAAGGATTAGGAAAGGTAATCCAAGCAATAGTAATAGTAACATTTGTTTTGAATATAGATGAAAACTTAAGTTATGTATGATGTATTCTAAGAAACACGTTCTCGTTTATATACGGCTGATGTTATTTCTATCACACGTCAGTACATGAAAAACGTATCGTGTTTCGTTCTTTTCTCTCGTTCTCTACAGATGGAAGAAAAATAATATTTCTTCTTTCTGTTTTATTTCTTAAAGGTTGTATAAAGAAAACTACCCTGTTTGTCAACAGATAGCAATGAACAAAACTGCAAAAAAATTAATGAGCGACTAGGTTACATAACACGTCATTTTTTACGTTTCCTATTAAAGGTGGCACTGATCATTGTTTCTCAATGAACGTGACCATTTGATAATTCTTCACTATCTTTATTTATTTCTGTAGACAGTTTTCTGTAACAATTTTTTGCTTGACAACATTCAGCTTCAAACTGTTTTACTGTTTCCAAATAATTTCTTATATGCGTTAACAGTAACTGTTCGATTTAGGTCAGAATGTACTCATCTCTATGCACCCAAGCATGAGAAATACGTCGGGTATTGCCTGATGCAGCTAGATACACTAGATACAGAACACGATACATCTAGATGCATAAAAAATAGAAAACGTTGAATCGGATTACCGTTCGATACATCTAGATAAGTTTATAGCCGACTCCTTTCCAGATGTATCTAGTAGTGCTTTTAATCCGATTCATCGGGCAGTGTATCGGGCAATTCATCTACTTGAGCACCGTATTAAGTCAAGTCTATTCCATCCTACCGTTAAAATCGAACGATTAATCTAGTGTAAGACGATTTGCAACTAAATGCAACTAATAAGAAATCGTCTTATCGTAAATGACGAGAAATAGTAGTTATCGTTTTGCACCATGAGGGTCGAGTTATACAGAGCTAAGCCTAGCAGATAAAATTGAGAAAATTCAGTTTGCTACATTTCATCTTCTAGCCTGCAGTTCAGGAAGCATCCCCTTCATAGCGAAAAATCGCAAAACTCATCTTCTCAAACTTAATTTTCAGTTTTCCACCAGAAAGAAAAGTGTTTCTCAAACTTCAGTTTGGAACATGAAATGTTGGAAATTTAATATCCCAAATTTCATCTACTAGGCTCAGCTTTGTACGACTTAGTCTTCAGGATACAACGCACAAAAAGCCCGTTTTATATCCTAAAGGACGGCAGCCAGAGACCACGTTCAAAAAATAAAAGAGAAATGAGCCCGTTAATTTAGATTTGATAATAAAATTAAAAAAATAATCAGTTTAAGAGCATTCTTTTAAAATCCATGTTAGAACCGCGTATATATATTTGTGATTAAAATTAAACCATAATAATAATAATGTTTTTTTAATCTTTTGTTAAAGCTGTTTTTACTTTTTCTGGTCTGCCTTTTCCTTTTCTGTGACCACTTGTTTGTGGAACAGTTTTAAAACCCCACATAATCACCGATTGTATGAGCATATAAATATTCCTTTTGACCAGAACGACATCTACAATACCAATGTGCCGTTATATGCGAAAAATCTATCAAATGTCCTGACTTAAGCCAGCTAATGTATTATGAATTTCATGACATTGTATAATATTGTTGCTAGCTATACATTTGTATTCATTGTTGAATTTGTAGTTGGTATCATATAACCGTATTACTTAACCGAATAATTTGACTTCGATCAATCTTCTGTGACGACTTATGTGCCTTTGATTTCAAACCTCTTCAAAGTCAAAAAATGCTCTTAAATTGATGATGTTATATATTTCCGATAAATAATAAATTAATAATATATCTACTACATCATGATTGGGAAACGGAAAGTTCAGCCCGAGGAAAGATCAGCACAGAAATTTCAGCACGGAATTTTCAGCACGGGAAAGATCAGCAGTAGGAGAGATCAGCGAAACTATTGATATTTCACAATTTGGGAGAAAAGTCGAAGTTGTGATTCTTGCAAAATGCCAAGAACTATATATTGCATATAGTGTATATAATATATGTATGTAACCTGACATGGAGTTATGTATAAATTATGCCTTCTACTTTTAAGATCTACTTATGAGATTAAGAGATAAGTTTTAAAATTGAAGTTGTAAACTAAGAAATCAAAAGCACGTTTGGATATGGATGGTTTCCCATATATAAAAGACCGCTTTACGAATGAAAAAGAAAATTTTCTTAATCATTTTTCTCAAAATTGTCACTCGCGTCTTCATACACGATGACAATGATATATTACTTGCAATAGAATCAAGTTGTTTTAAAACATCTGCATGCGGGTTAGAGATAATATTTAATACACGGTTTTCAAAACGTTCGTTTCTTTTACTTTTTAATTTGGGCGCTTGACCAGCATTAACGTGTAAAATTCATATGTGTCGCATTTTCTTCTTCAATTAGCTTTTCTAGGAAGGATCAAAGTGTTGGATGTGAACACTGAAAACCCGAGCCGATTCGACGATGATAAGCTTCCGCAGCGTTGTTTGTTCTCATGACTGCCTTCGTTGTCCGATGGTACATATTCCAAAGATCAATACTAAATCTGCGCTGCCGTCTTGTTTGATTCGGTCGAAGTCGTCCTAAAACAAGTACGTATTTTCACCTAGATCGACAGAGAAATGTGTAAAGAATATTTATTACGAGAAAATATGTAAAATATTTTATGTTTTCCTTCCTGGACATATCTAAGATCAAACAAAACTGAACTTTTCTTTTTTTCTTTCTTTTCTTAAAATCGTTGTAGCTTTTCTTAATTACAGTTCAGTAATTCATACTTCAGTTTTTATGCTGAGAACATGTGCCTTGTAACTGGTGCATACCTATAAGTACTATTAAAGGTTCTTCTAGAGAAACTTACTAAATTTCAGTTATATACCTTTACAACAATGTGTCACGATAGGATTCGGTGTTTCTTGAGTATTAAGCGCACGATAAACGATTTGTTCGTCAAATTTACGAAGTTCAATTGCTGTATCATCAGTTTTATAACTATGTTCAGTAGCAGGTTTCACAATATTGCTCGTAATAATACATATATGAAGGCGAGAGTGACAATTTTGAGAAAAATAGTTGATACAACGCCAACATGTTTTTTATTTATAGTGCGATCTTTTATATATGAGAAACCATCTATATCCAAACGTGCTTTTTGTTTTGTAGTACCGTTCACTGATATTGCAGCCATTTTGAGTAATAATAGGAAATGTTCCTTCATTTATTTAGACTACTTATATGTAGCGTTATTGAGACTAATCCACTTATAATCCCATTAGCAGAGTGTTAACTTAATTTCAATACTTATCTGTCAATCTCGTAATTAGCTTTATATTTAGATATAATCTCTACATAATTCTTTACAGAGTTTGTAAACAATCATTTGCTTTATATTGTTCTT